GGTTGATCTCTAATTCCAATCTCATTTAAAACACAAAATAAGTGTCGCACAAGATATTCCTACACCTTTATTGTTTTTTTTTTCTTAGTGTAGAGCATATAAATTGTCCCACCCTAATGTCTCCAGGTCCATCTGTCCTCTGATTATGCTTCTGATTGTCAGGACCGTTGTTGTTGTTTGCAGATATTTGGGGAAGAAAAAACAGGAAATTTTGTGTGTGGAGCATTTACTTTAAATTTTCATCTGTGGATTTAGACAGATACAAGTATGATCTGTTTTCAACTATTTTGTTATTTCAATATGTGCTAAAAATCTCATGTTCCTTTCACTTTATTCACTACCTGCGTACATCCATCACACTGAATATACAATAGAGGTTTCTAGTTAATCTACTTCTGAAAATATCAAGTATTTTAATGCATCTCTTCTTTCAGGAACTCCAGGACAATCAACAAGAAAGAGACCAAAAACTCCGTCCCATTCAGTTTAGTTCGGCCTGGTTCTTACATCTCTGAAGTTTATGTGAAGGTGCAGAGCCCCCTAGAGGCCTCCGGGTGCTACATGGAGAGGGTTCACTCCAAAGTGCGACGTGCTCAGGAGGGTCTGGTGGACGTGGTGGTGCAGGGTCTGAGTGGTGAAAAACCGGTGGCGATGGTGGAGAGCGAAGAGATGCTGCGCGTGGGGAGCAGCCTGACCGGGTTTGGAGAGGTGGTGCTGGAGGGGGGCCAGGCGGTAAGGCTACAGGCCCCGCAGGATGGACGCGGGTACATCTTGGTGCCCAGTGACTACAGGAGCTTCATGGACAGACACGAGGCTTCAGCCAACATGTGGCAGGCGCTGACAGCTGTGACCGGCCTCACAGGGGCCACACTGCTAGCTGGCATTGTGTATAAATTCTTTGGAAAACAGAGCGACAGATCAAGATAGGCTGAACACTGTGGGTTAGAAGCGATGCCTTTTCGGGTTTGATCCCCTGCATCCAGTTACTACTTTGTCATCAAGCATACTTGAGACTGTAAACATGAAGAACTGGGGAAACCTATTAAAAAACCAAAATGACAAAACAATGAACACATTTCCTACTAATCCTCCTTTGCTGAAGGTTCTTCTTTTTAGCGATCTTCACTAATGCGTCAATTAAAAGCTTTGGACCTGCTTCATAACCCAATCTGTGATTCCTCAACTTAAAGAATGCTTCTTAACTCACCAGGTGATCTAATGTTTATTAATTAATGACAAACTTTTTTTTTTCTCCTTTGGATCAGTTTTGGGGACATTCCTTCTGCAGATTTTACTGTTTAAGTGTAAACTTATCATTACAGTATTTCTATAGCAACCGTATTTTATCAGTGGAACATGTTTCCAGTCATTCTGCTGAGACTGGATAGATGTGATAACATGAAATAATGAATCTACCTCCTGGGTTGTTTCTGAAGTTTCTCCTTATTGCATTCCAGACATATAATGTGAATCTTTTGCGGTTTTATTTTTCTCTTTAATAAAAAGAAAAACCTGGAAGGTCTATTCAGCCCCCTTTACTCTGATGTCACTATATAAACAAACTGCTCTCAGTCCACCTTTGTGTTTGGTATCCATCTCTGTTTTATGATGGATTTAAGGATTTTTAAGAGGAGTAATATAAGGACTAATGAACATAGCACAGGGAAAATTAGAATAATTTGAATCTTTCTCTCTATAATAAAACAATGCAAACATTAAAATGATCAAAAATGTATAATTGTAAAGACCAGGTACTAAAGATTTGTAACGAAATGAGGTTCCACGTTAATGTTAACTCACTAAAATGCATGCTGCCTTTTTACAGATTTTTACTTGTCGAAACCATTCATCATGATGGCCTGGCGGGTGAGTTAGATCGCAGTTTGTGGTGTTTAAAGTCAAATGCCTGCTTTTATTTACACTACAGCAAGTGTGTTAATGAAAGGACGAAAGCTGAGACCTGTCTGGGCAGGATGATAGTCTGTTCTTTATTTTAGAAACATTCAGAGGACAAGGGTTCGAAAATGGATGTTTGCTTTAAATGCACTGAGCCACTTCTGCTGGTTAGTAAGGCTGCTGCATGGAGAAGAGGGCAAAAACAACAAAAACCTTATTTCCCTTCAGTCACACAGCAGCTTATGCTAAAGAGTTAATAAATTAAACTGTGAGGAAGTGATTCTTGTTATTCTTCATCTTCTGAAGATTCTTCAGCCTCCTCCAACCATTGGATGAATTTCTGAAGCTGCAAAATGAAATCAGAAAAATTAAAAAATTATAAATGAATGCTAAAAAGTAAATTTGCATAATAAAATAATCAAAATACTGCCATTATTAAATGACGTGTAAATGTTTTTCTATCAGCCGCACTAAACATCACATCATCCACAAATGAATGGTAGGATTTATGGTTTGATTTACTACAGACTATTAGGTAAAACTCGGGCTGTAAGGCAAACAAAAGTGCTTCGGATGATGTCATCAAACATTATTTAAACTGAAATCAGTTAATGTATTAATGAAAAGCATCTGAAACAGAGATCATGTTTAAAAGCTACAGATTTGAACCTGAATTTAACTCTTTATAGGGCACTCAGTGAGCCAATAGTGTTATCAGAATCCAGGACAAGACTGTATTACCTTTACCTACCTTACATTAAAAAAATATGAATATTTTGATGGCAAAAATGTCAATGTAATAACAAGAAACACCATCTGCCCGAATATATTAAGAAAAATAACAAAAGTGCTTCTATAAGCAATTAATGAAAAACACAGTAAAAGAAACACTTTTTTATGGTACAACATGCATTAATGCTGATCCTGATACTTAAATTTTTTAGTTTAAAAATTCAAAAGTAATTGTTAACTAGGCTTATTAACTTTTTAACTTTTCAATTAGCTTTTTACCTTTTTATCTTGAGTTGTTAACTAAACTTAATTTACAGTAGTTAATATATCATTCAAGGGCTCATCTAATTGGTCAAACACCAAAATGAGATGTACAGCCATGTAGCTGGATCTTTGCTGAATGGCTGGATATAGATCTTGTGCTTCTAGACCTCACTGAGGGATGGGGAGACTCCATTTGTAAGGGGTATGCAAGTGATCAAAAATGGTAACTTGTCCTATAAAAGGGTTAACCCATCCCCTTGGGGAGCAGTGGGCAACCACTGTGCAGCATCCGGGGAGCAGTGTGGGGTTAAAGGTCTTCCTCAGATACCCATAATGCTGGCTGCAGGGATTGAACCGGGTCCTTGCAACTGGACACAAGCACTCTGCTTTAACCACCATGCCAACACTATTAAAGCTTAGCCATTTTCAGAAACTTTTAAGTACACTTTGAATGATAGTGCTCTATGACAACAGATGATAGCGACTGTAGTGTAAAAACTTAATCTGGTCTTTTTTTTTTTAAACCAGCCAATTCCTGACTTTGGGAACTCACCCCCGGATTCTTGCGCAGCTGCCTGCTTTGATCCGTCGTGGCTCCCTGAGAGAACCAGCGCAGTATCATCTCCTCCTCCAGGATCTCCAGCTCGTACATGTTCATAAGGACCTAGGGTAGAAACAGGATACAGGAACACATACAGAATAAATGGCATTAAAATTGCTCTCCTAAATGTTCATCACTGCTGTTTGATCCTTACCTTCCCTATAGCAGCCCAGTGACTCTCCTGCTCTAGAAAATGCTCCTCAAAGGCAGCCAGACAGTCCAGGTGGTCCTGTGCTCTCTTCACATAGTTCTTAAAGACTGGTGCCCATTGCTTCAACAGCTAAACAAGAAGAAGAAGAGATAAAACCATCTGCTTAGTACAGATAAAAGGATCTGATGTGACATTTCTAAAAATTAAAAATGACTTTATTAATGCCAAATGGAAATTGAACTAAAATATTTACCGGCAGAAGCAGGGCTACGTATTGTGCAGGAGTGAGGTTTGGTCCCTGCTGCTGGAAGGGGTACTCCAGCACCACGTTAGTTAGAATCTGCATCACCTCCTTTAGACTGATGTTGTAGGCGTACCTGGAAAAAGACAGTGAGTTTGAACAGTGATCAGGCCTGAAGGGAGCAGCAGAGGTTAAGAACATAAGGTTAAGAGCTCACTTTAGTGAGTTGATCTCCAGCACCAGGTTATCACAGCCAATGTTCTCCTCTAAACCTCTCTGCAGAGTCCCGAGCACCTCCATCTGGAAAACTATAAAGAAAAGTACAACGCTGAATGGCTGCAGATTTCAAAAAATGTACATGAGGGAAGGAAGGATATTTTATAAAAAAAAAAAAAAAAAACATGTTGATAAATTCTTGTTAATTGCTGTTATTTTTTCTGTTTGGACAGTAGGGGGCAGTCATGCTGCTGTCTGTACAGTTGAGCTCTCACCTTTAACATCATCCATCTCAGGGGAGGGGATCATGAGGTCATCAGGGCCGTCTGGTTCGCTGTCTTCGCTGTCGCTCTCAGGATCCGGGTTCAACACCAAACCTAGTGGACATCAACCCAAACATCACCAAATAAACCACAACATCCACCCGCTTCAAGGATGAAGTGATGAGAGCGGCTCACCTACCCCACAGACACTGAGACAGCTCCTCTTCTTCCGTCTCATCCAGACTGCTGGCCTTCCAGATGTAACCTTTCCCTTGGGTTCCAACCTCTGCCGGGTTAAAAACTACAAAACACACAATGACACAGTTTGTACTGCAAATTGTAAACGCTTTTAGAAAGCATGGATATTCCAGGGAGATGATGCACACCTTTCTGTTTGGTTTTGTCTTTACTCTGCCCAACCTCAGCATCATCACTGAGGAACTCATCAGCATCCTCCTCTTCTTCCTCGTCCGGATGGTGCATGGAAACAACAGTTCCTTCTGGCAGAGACACGTCAGGTCCAATCACCACCTGGAAATCGCAAATGTTTTCATTTAGAAGCTCTGATCATAGCTTTAAAGCCATTACCACATTTGACCAGTGCTGCATAAATAAAGTTTTCTTAATAGGTCAGAATTACAGGTGAAGAACTCAGAAAATGTGAATTATTTACTTTTAGCTAGGTCTCTCTTTACAGTAAGGCTAGGATCAAATGTTTCCTGTATATGCAGAAGAACACGTTCAAAAGCAGTCAGAAGTTTTGGGTTTTAATAAATTAAATATTCTGATGGTCTAAAAATGTGGATTAAAAAAAAACAAAACCCTTCTAGTTATTTGAACTGGTCCAACAAAATCAAGAGCAAAAACAAATCAGTCTTCTTCAAACTTATTCAAGGAACCACCTGTGATAAACTAGAGCAAACACAAAACTGCCATCTATTGTGTGTTTACCTGAAGACAGGCTCACCAGAAAATATTTGTTTAGCAACATTTCAATTTAATAAATAGTTTAATAATTCCAAAACGTACAATGAGACTTTATAACAGACATATTAAGACTAGGGATGTCCTGATACAATTGTTTTATCTCCACTATGATTCCAATATTGCACTTGAACCCTTTATTTTTACCTGAGTTACAAAAGAAGCCTTAAAAAGGGCTGATAGAAAAGCAAAGTTTGTTTAATAAAATTTAAATGAGAGATAAAAGTTATTGAAGGCCGATACAGAATATGCCAAAATCAGTCTAATGAATCCCTGATATGTGCTTTCTAGTGTTTTGCAGGGACGATTCTTTAGGCCCATGTTGCCTACTAATTCCCTATTTATATGATAAAAACGATACATTTTTAGTTAGGTCTCAACTTGAACACAAAGAAAAATGTATAAATAAAGAAAATCTTAACACTAAATAGCAATTAAAGTTGGCGGCACTGTGTGAAGCTTCCGGATCTCCAGGCATGGCTGCTGAATGCACTAATGAATCAGCAATAGAATGCAAATATCAGCCGACACGATACAGGGAAATAGCGCTATAGACCAAAAATATTAGCCGTGAATTAGTCTATGTCTAATTTAAATTTGCTGATGACATTTCAGTTCTCATGTTATTGTCCATTATAAAAAGAACAGAGAATGTTTATGTTTGAAAGGATTTGGTGTAAAAAATCTTGATTTGTCTTGCTTTTCTCAAAGTTATATTTGACTTTCTGGAGAAAGAGATATTTCCATTGCTAGAAATTATGCAGGGAGCATAAATGGTTAGATAAATGCTTTATTCTATCATATTGTTGATGCATGGCTACTTCTCAAATGTGAATAATGTCATAAAGCCTGTATGGGCCGGGTACCTAAATAGAAACGTTATTCTGCTT